TGTGTGTGTGTGTGTGTGTGTGTGTGTGTGTGTGTGTGTGTGTGTGTTGAAAAAATGTGATTATGTGGACACCTGTACCCTTCTGCATGCATTCAGAGGCCAGAGCAGGACACTAGGTGTCTTCTGTGTCTCTTCATATTGCCTTGAGGCAAAGTTTCTCATTGAATCAAAGCTTGTGGTTTCAGCTACACTGGCTGTTAGTAGTTCTTAAGATCCAACTGTCTGGGCCTCTCCATGTAGGATTATAGGGTGCACCCATGTTCATATTAAAAACTTTTAATGTGGAAGCTTGGGATTTGAACTCAGGTTCCTGTGCTTATACAGAAAGTACTCTTTCTGCACCAATTGATAGAAAGAAAAATAGGTAGCAAGAAAAGGAAAAATACTGATTTTTATCAGAGCTTCTTATGAGTGAATGAAAAGTAAAAAATAATGAAGTATGAAGCATACATAGTATAAATGTAGCCAGTAGAACAGACTTTCCTAAAAATTGTAATATAGCTATTCCTTAGTATCCTAAATTGCTTTGATTTTTTTTAAAATCGCTTAACTACATATTTTGGAGAGAATTTTTATAACCAAAGACTAAAGAGCTTCAATACATATCCATATGGTTCTGAAGATACCTATGTAAAATCTCTATAAATATGTCGGGGGCCTTCTGACACCTTGCTGCTCCCTGAATTTTGGCATCTGGCTCGACCGGGCAGGATACAATAGCGCATTCCTGGCTGACCTGGGACTTTCGATAAGATCATTTTCCTGAAATACCTTAAATCCTCCTCTCCCTCAGGGCTTCCTAAGTAACTCTTCTGAGGAACTTTCCAAATTACCATTATTAGCACATCTTGGTGGGCCATCCTGTGATTTCTAGTCACTTAGTAACCCTGCCAAAGGCAATTACATTCCTTCCGCTTCTGCCTATATAGTTGTATGGAAAACTCAAATAAACAGAGACTTTGATCAGAAATACTGTCTTGGTCTTCATCTCTCCTGCCCTTGTCCCCCCCTTTTTATTCCCACTCCCCCATTCAAGATCTCCGTTGACATACCTGCAGGACGGGTCATAAATATAAAAGGGTATAACAAACAAGTAGGAAGACTATTAAATTGAGAGGTATAAAGTTAACTTTGAATATTAATATTTCAGTTATGAAGTCTTATATTGTAGACCTTTTCCCAGTCTCATGATTGGTTTCCTTTCCTACTGTTACAAAGAAAGCAGTCCCTGACAGAATTATCACATACCACAGATCAGAAGGAGACCCAGGTCTTCTGTCTGCACAGCAACTTTCTGTGAGAGACCAGAGCAGTCCCAGAGTACAATTACCTATTCAGCAACTTTTTACAGAAGTGCCTGAGGGTTACTTACCAGAAAGTTCAACAATTCATGATTCCAAAGCTATTTTTACATATATTTCAGGTATTGATCCTAAGTACAGGAAAGACTCGTTTTAAAAATCCTGTGGTAACATAAATAATACTCTCTCATCAGATAGCTTGCTTCAAGTCACCTGTGACTCCTACAGTCTCAGCTACTCAGACTCCTGTGGTATCATTTTTTTAAATAAATTTATTTATTTTTATTTTCTGTACATTGGTGTTTGCTTGCATTGGTGAGGAGGTCATATTCCCTGGAACAGGAGATACAGACAGTTGTGAGCTGCCATGTGGGTGCTGGGAATTGAACCCGGGTCCTCTGGAAGAGCAGCCAGTGCTCTTAACCACTGAGCCATCTCTCCAGCCCCTCATTTTTTTTTAATACTAAACATTTCTACTAATTCCATATCAAAAAATTATTAAAAATAACACTTGATAAGCAAGGGTTTTTTTTTTTTTAAGATGAAAATATAAAACTGCAGCTACTTTATTTAAAAGGCTCATGTCACATACAGGAAAACAATTGGAGAGAAAAATAAGTAAAATATACAGTTATTAGAAAATTTCTGTGGTATTTTATTTTCAAACTTTCAGACAAAACTCTTCAAAATTCAGATTTTTCTATTTAAGATACTAATTTAAAATTGAACAAATTTCCTTTCAGGATCTTTAATTTTCATTTTTTATTTTATAACAACTTAACTTCCTTTTTTTCCTCCCTCTAATTTTTCCTCCCTCCCTTTCACACTCATTCCTTACTCTTATGTCCTGAAATAGATTTTAGAGATTAATAAATATATTTTTGTATTACTAAAGGGTACTCTAAAATGGCCCTATGACTGCAACCAGGATATGTTTTATAGATCTCCTCCGCACGTATTTGCTGCACAACATCACGAGGCTTGTCAGGTCAAATTTCATTTCTCTGATCCTTTAATGTGTTATCTCGGTAACTACTCGAAAACAAGTATCCACCATTGTCTGCATGGCAAATCATATCTGAAACATCAAGATAAAGCCTCTTGGCAGTGAAATTAGATCTTTGGGCAGGTTTCCCCTCTAGACTATTAGATTTTGTCAGATGTCTCTCCAAAGGCCATAAATTTATATAAGCATTATATAGATAGTTTTTGAGAACTGGGTGGGGAGTAGAACAGCCACCGAATAAATTAACATTTAAAAAATCTTTCACTTGATATATTTTTATAATATTCAACAAGTAAGACTGTGTTCATTCAACAAAAATCCATAAAGAGAAGTCAAATATATAGAGAGAATGGTCAAATCTAAGTCATGATTTTCTTGACATCTCTGAAAATCTGTAGCAAATAATGGGTTAAAGGTAGTTTTTTGTTTTGTTTTGTTTTGTTTTGTTTTTAACCAATAGTTATTGAAAGTCCTCTCTCTATATACGGTACAACAGTGGCATCCTTTGGATAACCAACATCTTCCTAACTGAACCCAAAGTCAACTTATTAACAGTGTTGAATTCATACCTATTAATCTAGTAATGCAAACCTAACTAACTACCTGTAGCTAGTGAGGTCATGGCCTTAGAAGAAAACCTACTGCTGCCATGTTTATGATTTCTCTCTGGGTTCTAAATCCTTATACTCACAGGTCAGTGTAGCTCTCGCCTCCTTCATCAAAGTCACATGTTTTACAATAGATGGAAACTATTGCAGAGATTCACAAGTAGTCAGAATGCAGAGAAAAACTGAATCATCATGGAGCAGCCAACCCTAACTGATATATCTACACTGTAACCTCTGAACTCAAGGCTCAGGGCAAATTGTGGAAGAAGAGGCTGAAAGGTCAGAAGAGCCAGAGAACAGGGATACCTACTTCTAAATGGAGCTTCTAGACATAAACTTCTACACCTATGAAATATCCAAAATACTGTTACCTAAACAATTCCTATCTGATGACATCACCGGTTGAAATGACAATATAGATGAGGGAAATCTCATAAAGTTCCATCCCCTAGATGAAAAACTACAGGTAAACAAAAGATGTTGAGAGGGATAATCAACTTTCTCCAAAAATGAGCCCCTCAGATAGGTTATCCAAGCTCAAGTGATCAGCTCTAAATACATGTGCATATAAAAAACACAAAATGGATCCAGTGTATTATATATAATTTTAATAATAAATAGAACAGAGGTCATTAATTTGAATGTGAGTGAGGAGGGGAAAGAGTCAGAACATAGAAGGAGTAAGAGATGGAGGAAAAGAATGGAAATTATATAAATCCAGTAGTCATGCATGAATTTCTTGAAAAAAAAATTAAAGAGAATTTACCTTTCCTGCTCCAGTAGATCCAGTAACAGCCAACATCTCTCCTTTCTCTATGGTAAAACTGATGCTTCTCAACACAGGATTTTTCAGAAGACAGAGATTACCAACACAGAGGTAGCCACCACTATTGGAAAGTTTTCTGTCGTCATTGTTTAGCTGTACTCTCTCCAATAATTCCCCAAGTCCCTATTTGGACACATCAAAAATAAAATAGTTTCAGATATTTCCTTTTTTCTTATTAATTTCTTTATTTATTACACTACATCCTGATTGTAGGCCCCGCCCTCCTCTCCTCCTGATCCCATCCCCCTACCCTCTTCCTCCATTTCCTCCTTTCCTTCTCCTCAGAAAAGGGATCCTCCCTCCGTACCAACCCACCCCAACAGATCAAGTCACATCAAAACTAAGCACAACTTCTTCCACTGAAGCAGACAAGGCAGTCCCACCAAGGGGAAGTGATCCAAAAGCAGGCAACTGTGACCATATCAGGGATAGCCCAGGTCCAATTGCTAGGCAATATACAGCAAGCTGATAGCCAACATCAAATTTAATGGAGAGAAGCTCAAAGCAATCCCACTAAAATCAGGGACAAGACAAGGCTGCTCACTCTCTCCATATCTATTCAACATAGTAATTGAAGTCCTAGGAGTACCATAAAACAACTAAAGAAGATTAAGGGGATACAAATTGGAAAGGAAGAGGACAAAGTATCTCTATTCACAGATGATATTGTAGTATACATGAGTGACCCCCAAAATTCTACCAGAGAACTCCTACAAATGATAAACATCTTCAGCAAAAGGGCTGAATACAAAATTAACTCAAAAAAAAAGTCAGTATCCCTCCTGTATACAAAAGATAAATGGTCTGAGAAAGAAACTAGAGAAACAACACCATTTATAGTAACTACAACTAATATAAAGAATCTTGGTGTAATTTTAACCAAGCAAGTGAAAGACCTATATGAGAAGAACTTCAGCCTCTGTAAAAGAAACTGAAGAAGATATCAGAAGATGGCTAGACCTCCGATGTCAATGGATCAGTAGGATTAAGATATTAAAAATGGCCACCTTACCAAAAGCAATCTACAGAATCAATGCACTTCCCATCAAAATGTCAACACAATTCTTTACAGATATTTTCAATAAATAACTATGTACAATAATCTTAAGAAACACATGGTACAGGACCCACTAGAATAAATGTATTATTAAATTAATTTTAGAATATATAATTATAAAATACATGGTTCTAGAGAGCATGGTTCAAAATATTTGAGAAATAGCTATATATAATGAGAACACAATTTCCTTTTATCAGACTTTTGCTTCATATTATTAAATGCTAAAGTGTGTATGCATGTGTGTGCGTGTGTACCAGGATTATAGGAAAGAAGAGTATAACCTTTTTCCTACAGACTTTCCTACAGACATAATCATTAATGTTCAGCATATTTGAGGCTAGTATTATAATCTTCCTCTTTTAAAACTGTAGACACTGACTCAGAATGATAAATGATCAGTCACAAATAAGTAGTTTACAAAATTATGAACCATGCAAATTTAACTTTTTGTTTTGTCACACTGGTAGTTCCTCTCAACTCTCATCACAGAAGCTTCTTTCTTCATTGTGAAAAAAGGAAGGAAGGAAAGAAAGGAAAAAGGAGAAAGAAAGGAAAGAAAGAAAAAAAGGAAGGATGAGCAATCTGGGAAACCCAATCAAATAGATTCAACCCATAAAAACTACAGCATTAGAGAATGAATAAATACTAAATTATAGTGTGTGAGGATCCACAGTTAAAAATAATACCAAGTCTTAAGGGAGTATTGAGCAGAGCAACTGATTTAACATTTACCAATTAAGTCATGTTCATGTTGGCTCCAATGTATTTAAGTGGGATTTCACAAGACCAAGAAATAGTTACAGGTGGTTGAGGAAGATGAAGCTTAATATGCACAATGAGTAGGACATAAATCTAGTAATGTCTCAGATCACTGACAATAATTGTTACATGTCATTCATATTTGTCATTGCAGAGGTACTTATTTCAGAAAATACTATATTAATATTTAGAATATATAAGAGAGCAAAGGAAAATAAAGGTCACTTATGGCTGTACTATAGAAAATGTAATCACATTTAACATTTTAGTTGGACTCCCACCTTTTCTTTGTTTTCATTTTGTGTTTTGTTTTCTATTTTTTCCAGACAGGGTCTCTCTGTGTAGACCTGGCTGTCCTGGAACTCACTCTGTAGGCAGGCCTTGAACACAGGAATCTGCCAGCCTCTACCTCCTGCTGTGATTGAATGCAACCCATTATTGCTCAGCAATACCTCCTTTCTTTAACATAGGTAAGTGGATAATCTTTCTTTTTCTCTCTTTTTTTTCTCCCTTCCTTTCTATCCATCTATCTATATTATTGTTACAACTTTCATGAAAATTGTAAAGTGTGTTCTGTTTATTCTTAATATTTATTTACAAATATTTTTATATTCATTAAGTACTATTAATTTTAATTACATTTAATTTAATTTAATTATATGGTTATAATATACAAACTCTAGAAACTTTTTACTGGATGGTTTAGCTTTAAGTTTAATCAATAACATTGTGATAGAAATACAGAAGGACATAGTTTTTGTTGTTATTTAAGAGATACTCCTGTGTAAGTGGATCAAATAATATGTAAAATTTCTCCAGCCATGGATGGAAAGTGTTGAGGGCAATAATGGGAAATAATTTTGTAGACATTGAAACAACACTTTTCCCCTCCTCTTTCTCATTTTCCTCCTCCTCATACCTTTATTGTTTTTTTTTCTTTTGTCCTAGAACTGAACCTAGGACATTATCCATGTGAGGTGAGTAGTGTGCCACTGAGTTATGCCTCTACTCCTTTATTTGTACCCTTAAATAAGTACCAATGTGCAGTATGGTAACTGAAAATGGCTCTGGGGTCTGAAAAAACAAGGCTGACATAGCTCTTGCCCTAGCTATTTGAGTAACCTCCTTACTTTAAAGGCCTTACCTCAACTGCCTAATATGTAAATATAAATTTTATCTAATCAAAGTTTGGTGTGTAACTCATCCCAGACTTGCCTGTCAGCTGTTGCCATCATTGGGAATGGAGAATATGCTAGAACAAGCAGGCCAAAGCCTGAGGAGTGATGAATATGAAGTGTATGAGGAACATACGAATATTTGGAATCACATCTATGAAATTCAGGATTGAAAATCTGTACACCTAAAGAAACTAATCAAGAGGGAGGACTCTTGCTAAAATGCTCAATTCCTATCCAGAAAGGCAAAGAGGCTGTACATCAGAAGAAGGAGAAAAGAGGGAACAAGTCAGGAGCCTGACACAGAGGACCTCTGAAAAGTTCTGCCCTGCAGACTATCAATATAGATACTGAGACTTATGGGCAACCTTTGGGCAGAGTGCAGGGAATCTTATGAAAGAAGTGGGAAACAGTAAGATCTGGAGAGGACAGGAACTCCATAAGGAGAGCAACAGAAACAAAAAATCTGAGCACAGGGGTCTTTCCTGAGACTGCTATTCCAACCAAGGACTATGCATGAAGATAACCTAAGACCCCTGCACAGATGTAGCCCATGGCAGTTCAGTATCCAAGTGGGTTCCACTGTAATAGGAACAGGGACTGTCTCTGACATGAACTGATTGGCCTGCCCTTTAATTACCTCCCCCTGAGGGGGAAGCAGCATTACCAGGCCACAGAAGAAGAGAATGCAGCCAGTCCTGATGAGACCTAATTGACTAGGATCAGAAGGAAGGAAAAGAAGTCCTCCCCTATCAGTGGACTTGGGGAGGGGCATGCATGCAAAGGGTGAAGGAAGGGAGGGATTGGGATGGGAGGAGGGAGAGAACCACAGGGGGGATACAAAGTGAATAATGTGTAATAAAGAAAAAAAAATAATAAAACAGTAAATTAAAAAAAAAAAAGAAAATAGGACTAGAGATTTGCGATTGCATGTCATCAGCTCACTGATAAGCCTGGATGAGGCTATCCACACCACAGACAGTAAACTGCTGGAAGTTGCTCATGGGAACTCAATGGCTCATCAATGCTGAGTGACAGGCAGTGAAGACTTAGAAGTCATAATCAGAAAAGTTAATCTTCACTGAGGAACCATTACACGCAATGTCCACTAATGAACAGTCCATGGAAATCATCTTAGTAGGAAAATAATGTCTTCATTTAACAGATGAGGACACTTGAGGCTTGACAAGTTGAATATAATGTGATTGAGATTACATGGAAAGTGAATTGCAGAGACAAGTTTTAAACCAAGTATCTAAGATATCATCTTGGCCTTTTATATGAAATCAATTATATGACTTTAAAAAAATAGAGGCTTTCTGTTGCATTTAATGATCCAGGTTCCCCACTTTTTACTTTATAAAATAGAACAGCCTAATCCTTATAGCTCAGTTACAGTATCATTCAAGTCTTATATTTTATTGAGCAGAAATTTAGAAGTATGAAAAGGTCTAAATTGTTTTTATATTTAAAAAATACACAATGTTTAAAATTTTTCACACCTCATCCCAGAATGCTGTTACATTCTCCATCATCACACCTGTGGTCATTAAATTATACTCCAGCACCTTATATTCTTCATTCTCCAGGAAATCCTAGTTAAGAAAGAGAGCAAAAACTTTCAATCATAGAATCAGAATAGCAAAATGGTATTGTTATGTCTTCTTACACTCTAACATTCCAGTGTCGTGTAAAGATTTTAACAACTAAATTTGAAATTATTTCTTAATAACTTTACAATTGTCCTAAAGTCAATGTACCAAATAGTAGGATTCATCATAGTCTAAATATTCTTTAAATATATTAGTTTGTGAAACTGGTTTATACATTAGCTATTAGTGCAGTTGCTTTTTTCTTATACGGTTAAACAGAAAATTAATTTCTAATGAAACCCCAATGATTACTTATTCATGTCTCATTTCATGAATATATACAACATCACTGTCATCACGTCTCAAGCTGCGAGTGTATGGATTTCCTGGAACTACTTTTCAGTATTCTGAGAAAGGCCTCCATCAGAGATGCCAAACCACATTCTTCCTAGGGAAAGTGTGCCCCATAAGTCTTCACAGGTCCCTGTGGGCCTCTTTTCTTTCTTTCATCCTCCCTTTCTCTCTTTCCCTGTGTTGGTTTGTCTCATTCATTTCCATTTTTTTCTGATGTTTCTGTGTTACTGTTCAGTGATATTCTCATTTCTCCTCTTATCTCTCTGCCCCTTCTCCCTCTTTCTTCTCTCATCCCTCTACCCTGCTACAATGATGTCAACAGAGAAGATTAATCACAGAACCACTATGATGCTAGCTTCACTAACTCCTTTGTCTTGTTACACAAGTCAAGTTCATTTCATCTCGGGGATGATACAGGTAAGTAAAAGGGCTGGAAAGATTGTGATAAGATGGACTGGATAGGCACTATTAAGCAGTAGCTGCTTAATTCGGGGACCCAAATTACTAGATAATCTCAATTCTTCAGAAGACACTCAACACACGTATGTGTATACATTTCTGCTAATGCACAGGGGTACAAATGGTACTCTCTACTTCTGATCATTATTACCAACTAATTCAAAATCATCAAAGGCCAAATAAAACAAATAGAAAAGCTAAAATTACAAGCTGTTCACCATTGCAACACCAGACCTAGCTAAATAATGGAAACAGCCTACTCTCCATCCCACATCTTATTTGTCATAATGATTTACTTCCTGTGATAAATACTTCAACAGATATGTTAAAGGGTAATGAGACATTTTTCACAATTTATTCAGTTTGCTGTGAATAAACAACTACTACTTATCACCTCAAAACTCTACGATGTTTTTGCTACCATCAGCTACTTCGGTATCCTGGAGTTGCACAGTAATTATGTGTCATAAATTGTTATTTGCATCCATCAGACTGTCCAGAGAAATGCTAGAGAAGTTTAAGTTGGGCACTCCAAGGTTAGGTGGAACATTTTATAACTTCCTGCTGAAGTTTCTTTTTCTTTTTTCTCTTCTATTTTCTTTCTCTCTCTCTCTCTCTCTCTCTCTCTCTCTCTCTCTCTCTCTCTTTGCATATTTACAAGCTGCCTGGAACTGATCTATTCACTGGCTACTTGGGTGGAACTTCCAAGATTATAACAATTATTTTAAATTCCTTTGGCCTACAAAATCTTATAGGATTTTATTTCATTAGACTTTCACTGTAAGGGCTCTTGAGTCCATGTATGAATATGAAGAAGGGAAATCTTATCTAATGAATCCAAAATCAAGAAATTCATCTTAAGAGATTTTTTTCCACTGTACAAATTCTAAAATATTTCAAGAATCATATAGGGATGTAGTCGTGAAAGTTACCTGTACTTTTCTTATCATTCCAATAGAATCGTACCATGTCTGCACAGCAGTGGGGAACTGTCGGGTGACTGACATTCGCAGGACAATACAGAATGAAATGGTTGTGAATATTTTTCGGAGGACGATTCCGTGGAAGACTGTATAAGGGAGCACAGATAAAAAGACTAGAAAGAACCCTGAAAAGAAGAAGGCGTAGCTCGTCAAGAACCGCAAACAGGCCGCCTTCTGGGTCAGTTTGAGTTCCGCCCTGTGGAAATAGGAGAAGATGTGATGTATTACTTCCTTTTCAAATATGTGTGTCTTAGAATATAAAATCTGAACAGTCTAAGTTTGGGCAAGTTATAAAACCTCTCTTGGCCTCGATTAGCTTATATGATTGTTAATGAATACAGCATATATCTATACAGAATACTTAACATTGCTGTAAAACAATTAAGAATGCCAATTATATCGTAATTGAATTTTTATTATATTATTAAAATTAATTTAAATGGTATTATCTAGATAGATTTTTATTTCATATTATTTTTATATCTTTAGTAACTTCATCATTATGTGAAATGATGTGTGAAGGAAAAACAATGTTACAAGTTTTATGAATGAAATGATAATTTTGTGATTATCCATCAGATTCTTAATATTTCTGAGATTCTAGCTTGGCTTTAAAAAGCATAGACAATGGTACACACACACACACACATATACATATATATTTTTTTATATATATAAAAGAAGAGAGGTTCTCAGGTGTTAGCACGGATACAGGGCACCTGAGAAAGGTGCTGCTCCTGGGCATCCTCTTCTACAAGCCACATCTGCAGATGCTGGCATGCTGCACTTACTTCCAAGAAGCTACTCTGTAGTCAAAAAAGCTAAGTAATTTGGTTGCAGGGAGTTCTTCAAAGCCCAGGGAGTAGTTACTCCCTCCTCTCTCTCATTTCAGCATAATTATAGTGGCCATGCCTCACTAGAATTGCAATCCTTTATTCTGAACTCAAACTGTGAACTATTTCTCTTTTTATAACACAAACAGGAAAGGGTTAAATGCTTTTAATGGGCAGAAAGCAAGAAGCACAGAAGATAGTGACAAGCTGAAGGTGATTGCCCTTAACCTCAGGCCCAGTCTTCCATGAGTCATAAGACCACAAGTCACACGTGATCCTCCCCAACCATTCTTGTGTAGGCAAGGACCAACAGTAACACAAAATGAAGTCTCTGTCTAAAAGGAGAAATAGCTGGGCATTTGGCATGCAGAAACTACACTTCCACACACCTCTGATCCACAGAAACAACTGGCAAGTAGTTGAACTAAAAGGAAATCTTAAGTCCTCAAAGAAAAAAACATAATACTGAGCTCACTGACAGAGGTTATGTGTGACCTATATTGTGATCAGCCTAAGGAGTTGCAGTCTTTTATCTCTCAGTAAATTTGTACTGAAGACAGACTTGTGTTAGTGTTCTGCCTATTTTACCTATGTCTGAGGAAAGTTACTCTTCCTTCTCTAAGTAAATGTGATTCCATCACTAAAGAAAACATAATACTTCTCTTGTAGAAATATGGTTAAGCTTAGATGACAACATAGCAGATCTAAAAGGGCAATGTGTAGCCCTCCTTCCCTTTTTTCTTAGAGATAAAAAATACATTGATGAGGTTTTTATAATGTTAGCAAAGTGTCAAAATTATTCAAATGCATTAGAAACAGCTGAGAAAAGTTGGAAAGAGAAGTCACATAGGAAAATGAATAATGGATCCAAGAACACTTAGCAGAATCATCTAGAAACCATTATAAAATCCCTAATATTTTATGAGTCATAAAAATTTTCTATCAGTTTTTTATTAAAAAACAATGATGGCTTTATTGCTCAAAAGCAATAAAAGGCAGATTTTTTTTCAAGGAGATCTGCATAGCTGTTGGCCCAGGCTGAGGTAAATGCCCTTCTGAAGAGCACCCTGTCAGTCTCTTCTAGAACAATGTGTTTGCTCTACTGAGTACAGCAATTCTTACTTTCCCTTTTACGTCAACACTCTCCAGCTTTTTCAGGTAACAATTTCATGCTGTATCAAACCGGTTGCAACCAGATGAATGCTATCAGAATTAGCCAACCCGAAATGCAGAATAGGAAAGAGATTTCATCATGTGACAAAAAGAGGGGTAGAATACCAATGTTAAAAAAAAAAAAAAAAAAAAAAAAAAAGTAGTCCACCACAGGAATGACCTGCCGTGAGCTTATTGTGAAGCCTGAGGAAACTGGATCCTCTGATAACCTCATAAGCCCTGCCATGACTGTGTGTACAGGCAGGGTGTGGTGGAGCACTCAACTTGTTAATGTGGAAAACAACTTTTATCAACTGAACAAGTCTCCCAACATCTTTAAGGATGTTTCTGGGAAGAAAATGCAGTTTCTTTCCTGGTTTTACCTTGAAAGGCATGACAATAACAGGTGACCAATAATGTTTGGCAAATAAATACTCTTTTGTTTTTTCTATTTACATGGCAAAGGACTTAGCATTTCAGCATTTCCATTGTTGTTCCAATCACACACCTGTGGCTCAGGTACCATTGTCTACAGGCCTCTACCAGCCCAAAAATGAAACAGCCCAAATTCACACCATTGCAAAGAGCACTCTGTGGATTACTCAAACGCCCTATTTCTCTATATTAATAGTATCCTAGAGGATACATACGCCTTCAGAAGTCTAAAACATTTCCTTGATTGTAGAAACTAAAGAAAAATAATTACATGGCTACAGCAATGATCATTTTTCTTACCCAAAATTATCTCAGTAATTACATATCAGTCTGTGATGTACTTTTTTATTTGCCAGATATATCTTCACTAATCTGTAAACAGTTATCTGACATGAAAGAAGACAAGACCCATACTCCTGTGAGCAATTTACTGGAGCAACACGAAGGAAAGTTTCCTTTGTCACTATTCCTAAAGTTCAGATAACAGGAATGAATTGTCCAAATGTGGCTGTCTCCCATGTCTTATAACTCATGTTTTACAGTACAGTGTCATCCTGTATCTCCTGTTTCTCTCAACTACATATTTTAGCACTTCCATTTATAGTTTAAACTATCCTCCAGCCTCTTCAGCTTTGTTTTAGTCAAAATAAGGGTATTAAACAACTATGAACTATTATAGGAGAACCATTAATAAGGGGTAAATATTCTTTGAATCAACTATGTAAAACCATAAGTGAGGGCCAGGCATGGTGGCACATGCTCTTAAGTTCTAAGCCAGCCTGATCTATGTACTGAGTTTTATGCTAGCCAAGGACACATAAGGAGGGCCTGTCTCGAAAACCAAGCAAAACATTAACTGATCAAAATAATTTTATGCAACTGATGTATAAACTGTGGTGTAACTCAGGACACATGCTTGATTTTTAGAAAGTTCAAAGACTAGTTGGAAATCCACCTGGATAGTCATTTTTAAATGTTAAATATAAATTTGGATCAATATTACAATTACATCAACTTACTGTCTCAGGTTTTCAATTATTTTTTCCATTGCTGACTCCCAACAATGTACCTTAACAGAATAAATATTATCAATAATTTCTGATGTGATCACAAGTCTTTCATTGATCTTTGCAGCTCTTTGATCTCTGTAAACAAATCAATTGATCAAACAGTCAATAACAGAAACAAGCCAAATTACCTACCAATAACTACTCAAATTTTAAAGGAAATCCATATTTCTTTTATTACATAGATAAACATTTTGTTATTAAGCAGATGATAACAAAAGAAATTCTAGCCAGGTGGTGGTGCTGCACTCCTTTAATCCTAGAGGAGGTAGAGGCAGAGAGAGCTCTGAGTTTGAGGCCCCTTGGTCTACAGGGGGAGTTTCAAGACAGCCAGGGCAACACAGAGAAACCCTGTCTCAAAAGCAAACAAAAGTAATTCTACCATCCAGTAGATGCCTCCTAAGTGTCAGACATCCACTGTTGGATACATTTTAGACAATGTCCCTAATTCAGTCCTTATCAAAGTCTCAAAGAGATGATTATCTCCATTTTGTGAAGCAAATGAAAAATATTTTAAAAAGCTTAAAGACCTATTTGACTCCCCAGAATTATAGCTTTCTGCCATAGTCAGGCTGACAAACTCTACACATTCTCTCTTAAGAACATCACATAACTCATAGCATTAATTCCTTCTGTAGTAAAAGTAATAAAAAACTTTGATACAATCACCTACAATATGGAGTATAAAAAGCCAACACTTCCATATAAAATTTAGGCATTCCTTCCAGTTTATATAAATACTATACCCATTTTACGTGAATTAAAAAAAAAATGTACTGAACTTTAAAACATTTACAAAGAAATTCTGTAGACAAACATGGAAAAAAATACCCATTTGTTATAGGAAGTATTGTTTACACCTTTAAAATAATCTCTTTATGAGGAATATCCACTGTGATGCCTCCCTTGGGATCTTGTCCCCCTAACTGAGTTGTTTTGTCTGGCCTCAGTGGGAGAAGTGGGAGAGGATGCACCTAGTCCTAGTGCAACTTAATGTGCCAGGCCAGTCGGTACCCATGGCAGACCTCCCAATTCTCTGAGAAGGAAGGGGGAGAATGCGTTTTTGTGTACAGGGGTGACTAGGAAAAGAGGAGGAGGGCTGCAATCAGGATGCAAAGCGAATAAATACAAAAATTAAATAATAATGAAAAGAATGTCTCTGGTGCTACTGCCTGGTTTTCTTGTCAGGGCATAAGAAGGTCAAATTCCTTCGAGCTGTAACGAAGATCACTACCTGTACTTCATCATCATCTTCCCTAAGACGGCTTGAAGAAAGACCAGGACTACCAACAAAGCAAGGCCGCAGAAGGCGGAGACCTGTAACAAGTCCCAAAGAAGCCCCATCAGAAGAGCCACTTGTAAAGGAGCAATCCATACAAAATGGGCCAAGGCAAGTCCCTGAAAAATAAGAGCACAGAGAAAATCAAGTGGCATGGTGTACTCCACCCTAAAAGCAAGCAGAGAAACACAGAGACACGTGTGGAAGAAAATGAGCACTGAGGATCTGTCCAATCAAGGAATTCATGGAGCTGAGCACATTAAAACTCACATGGAAGCAGATCTACGGAACCTAATCAGTGCATACACCAGGTTGCCCAAGCTAAAAATTTCAAATCGTGGCATTTCAAACTATGTTTTTATTCAGTAGGATTGATGTCTTCATCTTAGGAATTGTGCCCAGATTTGAATTTAAAACGCTAGTGGCCTCACATAGAACATATGAGAACAGGGATTTTCCCCAGAGGCTCAGTATACGCACACACACACGCATGCACACCTCTACAGGTCAACATCTGGTACCCAATTCATCAGTAATTTACTTAACACTTGCTATGCTAAGTGTTAAATAGGAAATGCAAAGGTAAAACACAGTATCTATCCTCCAGGATATTGCATTTACTTGTGACATAAGAGCACAGAACAAGAACTGCTCAGAGTATCATATTTAGCCAAAGTAAACAATTTAAGGTATTACATTAAACAGAAGCAAAGACTGATGAGGATTAGTTGAAAAACCTTGTTAAGAGCAAGCTGAGGTATGACTGAGTTGGACATTTTTACCTGACCTCAGAATGGTGCTCTGCTACACAATTTAGCTTTCCCCAGTTTCCTCCAATAGCCAAACCAGGGATGGATGGAATAACAGATAGCATTGTTATCTGACACAGGATAAACCTTCCTTTAGGGTTGTTTGATTTCTAATAAAATGCATAAAACATTTAATCAGTGGGTACATACTTCATCAAATTTGTTCAGGTTGTTGGAAAGAAGACTAACAAGTTGTCCAATACTTATTTTATCAAGAACACGGCTTGACAGCTTTAAAGTCTAAAAGAAAAATTGGAAGTTAGGTGATGTCAATAAACAAAAATAAAATGTATTCATAAGTAACACATTAGTAAGGTAAAGGATGTGACTGCATATATCTTAACTGGAGGGGACGAGCCTTGTTTCATATATGTTTCATTCTGTAACCCTAGTTAAGAGTCTCAGGATGGGGAGGTCTTTAGCCACTGTGGAGATCCAAGTAACTGTTGTTATCAAGCTACCTTCTCACTACTCAGGTTTATACAATAGATTAGAGTTTGCACCCAGCCATTGTCAGAAAAGCTTTTTAGTACAGTGGGTGGTGGTGACTGCAGAAACCTGTAACACCAAAGTGTGCCAAATCAGTGATGGCAGGATGTCATAAATAAGATGGCTGTATTAGTCCCCAATGCCTCAGAGGACATGGCAGAAGAGAGGGCCTAAAGAACATACAAGCTGAGCTTGGAAAAGGCTTACAGGAGACAGATGTCTTCTCCACAGGACATGCCAGCTGCAAGCATGAACTCCTTAGAGCTGAAGTTATCTGTACATGGAACACTTTAGGATGTACAGGGGCAGGCTCACGAGAGGGATTATCATCATCTTTTCTCACTGGTGTAATGCGTACAAGCTGCCTTCGTTCTAGTAAATAACTTTCCACCACCTATGTTCTATTAAACTCAGCGGGCCAGACATAAAGAGACATGGAAGCAGGTGGGCACTGGCAACAATGAGGTCCAGAGGGAGAAGACAGGGAGGGACAGAAACTGAAGATAAAGATGACTAAAATTAATTATATGTGTATAGGAAAATGTCAAATAATGAAGATTATTTATAAATTTAGATATAAAAATGGGATCTAAAGCGGTGAATCCTGCTCTTATTTGTTCATAAATTCCCTTACTAATTCTTCATAATAAAATTATTGTTAAGTTCAATCAAAGTATGTTATGAATAATTGAATCAATATTTTTATGTTAACAAAACAAAGTCTTCAAACCTTACAAAAAACATAAAAGATCATTAATTAAAAAATTTACTTACTTACATATAAATTAATGATTTAACATTATTACATAAATTATGACCTTGAAAGAGAGTAATCCTTTGCCTATGAAATTTAATAATTTATTTGCTGTTAGATGGCTTTGGCAGCAAAGCACCCATTTATTATTTGTTTCACATATTTGTTGGTTATTTAATAGATGTAAACCATTGTCCTGTAACCTAGAAAATATATATATGATAAATTAGTTAAGGAAAGCAGAATGTAGAGTGGGCTCATTCTTTGGATTAAACAATATGAAAGATTTTATAGAGATAGGGCTAAAATAACGGATAAATTACAGACAAGCAAAGATGAACAAGGAATCAGGGTAGTTACAAAATATGATTAGAGCAATGAGAGGAGAGGAAGAACTTAGTGAGGTAGATTCCATGTGTCTTAGGAGGAGTTTCAGTTTCAGGTGAAGTTACACACAGGCTAAACCAAGGAGCCGCAGGCATAACATGTAGTAAACTCTCTATTTTGATGATCTTCAGAGTCATGGGCAAAGTTCAGTTTGTATTCATTATTTTGAGTACAATGTGTTATGGTTTCAGAATTTTAAAGACAGTGATTTTTTTCTACTATAAAATTTGAAATATTGTGGGAAGGAAGGATCCTGCATGTCCTTGCCATGAGCCTGAAACAGGATGGACATGGCGAAGGATATGACACATGGAAAGAACAAAGATAAATTAGGGACCAAACTAGAGCAATGTGACAATGTACTTAAACTTCTTGGTGATAAGCCAATCTAGGGAAGTTAAATGTGGTTTGCAAGATATCTTAAATGATCAGCAATCATAGGTAGCTGATGTTAGATGTGTGTATATATACATGTATAGGCACACATATCATATATATATATACACATATACATATACAACAGCTTCAAACTTTTCATTAATGTATCTAAAATCATTTAGCACATTTATTATTAGATTTGTGGTAAATTTTATATAAGGACTTGTCTACAAATTAACAATGCTCCTTATTTTACTTCATATCTCCTTTGGCTCAGTACTGTATTTCTTCCATACTTTTTTTTTCTAATGACCAGAAACCCCTTTACAAGATGGTGAGTAATCTATTTTGAAGTTTTGAAGTAACTTTTATAAAATACTCTTCCTTTATAGGTTTTAGTTTCCTTTAAAGGAGATAATAGCACCCACAGTAAAGAGCTATAAGGCAGATCAAATTAGACCACATTTAAATCATTTATTACTGCAATATATGTTTAGTTATTATAATTATAATAAATACTTCTTAATAAATATTTATTAAAGTAAATTCAATTTTCTTTGACAACTAGTTCTATAGAGTCTCCATTCCAAATGATCTCTAAAAAGTTTTGTTGATTTATCATCATGTTTCCCTGGGACTTATGAATTGATGAGTTGCAGCTCAAGAGAGTCAGTTAAGCTTCTGACTCCATTTTGTTCTTCTCTGCCTCCATAAAAACCTTTTTGAATAATAAAGTATGGCCATCAAGATTTTATAACACAATTGACCTTCAGTATGTACCATAGTGGTATTATGGATTACTTGTTATAGGTCAATTTCAGATCCATAGTCCTCATAAGCCAAGTATATAAAGTATGTTACTGAAGAAGAAAAAAAGCAGCAAAGAATAAAAGAATAAATATATTGATAACTTGGTAGAGTAAAGCAGTCACATACACAGATTGGTGAAAGCACATGCCATTGAAATGACTTGGAATTTTGTCAGAATTTCAGGCGACACTTAGTTTGCTAAAAGTTCCTTTGAATTTATTTAAATCCTTCCTAGACAATTTAGGCTCTGGTCTAGCAAACACATACAGAAAAGCAAAGTAAGTGCTCACGATCTCAACGTACATGCTAATTCAAAAAACATTATCAAGTTACAGGACTCACTGAATGACAGAAATCCAACTCAAAGTAAGAGTGTGCATGAGTATTACCACTGCGCCACAGTCACCACCCGGGGCAGCTGGGTCAGGTAGAAATGTATTGCTTAGGTCATCATTAACAAGAATATATTAAATTATTGTTAGTAAGTATAAAGGAAGATAGCATTTTATTGTAAGATGCTATTTTATCAATGACGCTGGTACTACTATTTGCATGTTATTTGAAAAAAAGAGGATTCAAAAATTGATGGTGATTTAGCTTACTGCTACAGCACTTTTCTTTCATGGGTGAAGCCCCAGGAAATTCAAGAAAAAAAAACACAAAACAAAACCACTCAAATTCTTCGCCTAAAATATGATATCAGCAATATCGGTAATTTACAGAAGGTATTTAAAAATTGCCTACTGAATCAGGTTGCGTTACCAAAGAGAGATAACTCAAAACAGTACTTATCCCTACCATGCATCTTCACAGGCACATGAAACTGGAATCAGTGTTCTCACTTATCCTTGTGCAAGCTCACACTCAGGGCATTAAAGACATGCCGTGTAGAATGCTGGGATTGTGCAGGCTGGAAAACCCAGCAAAGAACTTGCCTAACATACATGCAGTCCTGACTTCAATCTCCAGCACTGACGTAATAAAACAAAGCCCATCAAATAACACCAAAAAGTATTACCTTCTTATATATTAAGCTAAACATAGCTACTCTCATCTGCATTCCAATGCGATGGAGGCCAAAAATAGCAGGATGTAGAAGCAGCGTCCTAACAATGAAGAGAAGACATAAGCCTATGCCTAGGTAAATGGCGATGGAGCGTTCCACTTTGTTATCTGGATCATAGGATGCTATGATTCTTCCTAGCAAGAGAGGCTGGACAGCCTTGGTGACTTCCTGCAGAAGGAGAAAAATACAAATTAAATTTCATTTCCTTGCCCTAAAATACCCTTAAAACTTCATTACGAAAATGTTTTATCTTACAGAAGATTTACAGAGAGGTTTAAAATAGTCTATGAAACTTCTGTTGCTGTATTTACTTTGTGTATATTCTGAAGTAAGACTTGGCTATTAGTTTACAGCAAAAGTCAGTTACAGACACCTTTGTGTGAGGTGTTCACTACAACCCAAATCAGTTATTTTAACAAACTTCTACCCTGCCAAATAACTGATGCCATTGATTTACTGTTTGTGGGGTATCTCTGGGCATGTATTTCCAGAAAAGAAACAAAGATTATCAAAACTGATATTACATCTGCATAGAGAGATGTAGGGGACACACATTCAAAATGTGTTTATATTCTTGGTCTCTCTATATAGTAATGTAACTGTGGTATAACAATTATTTAGTTGATTTCAGTACTAATAGAAAAAAAACCTATAAAATTGACTCTCAACTGTGAAAGGTTAAAAAGGAAGTAGCATCACAAAGAACCTTATTTGTACACAGTGATGCAATTTTAAATCATATTAGCTATGGTATATCCCCTATAACTATGCACTTGTTTTTCTTTATAAGACTCAGCAGCCAGACACAACATTGTTTTTAATACTTAACACTTCCAAACCTGAGCAGGAGAGTCAGTTAAGGATAACCTAAAGGAAGTTAAACGGAGGGAACCTAAGCGTACCACTGACGGAATGTGGCCACCAGAGAACACTTGTTACTGTAAGGATTCACACGTGTACACATAGAAGTATTTTTCATTCCATGTTCCCATCACTCATCTAGGTAAATATTAGTTCACCTTAAATCAAGTTTCTTTTTTTTTTTTTCCTTCAGTTAAGAGAGTTAAAGGACATAAAAAAGTTAAGGTCCTCACAATGCTATAGTTCTTACATTCCTCAGACTGTTAAAAAGGATGACCTGTTTCTTGCATTTAGACAAAGACAGGTCTTTGACTCTAGGCCTCCTGCTCCTGAAAGAAGGGTGCTGCGGGTAATGTGAAGCACACATGGTCTCTGCCTTGGGCACTTTAACTTCTTCTTACATCTCTTCAGCATGAATGCTCTTAGCAAACCTTCTAGAGGCCTGGATAAGCTTTACTTTCTGCACTGACTTAAGTGTCATGCATTATTATATTAAATATTATATGTATATTTGGACCTTTTCCTGGAGTTTCTAGATAAATCAGTATACTTTCTTTGTATACTATGTCATGGGACATGTATAATTTTATGTTTTGATATCCAATAACTTAAACTTTCACATTGTTTTTATTCTTCAATGGGTTTCAATTAGTATGTATTTTTAAATGAAATTTAGAATAATTTTATTTATTGATATAACAAATGTTTACTGATTACGTATACTTGCTGTGTATTGTATGTGCCATAACTCTTGTCACAACATAAATAGATAGCTACCATCCTGGTGTTAATGTATTTATTTTAAAAACATACGCGAAATTTTTATGTGATTACGTTAATCTTATAAAGTATGTTCGGGGAAACAATATTTGCACTATTTAGTTTTTCTTAGATCAGTTAGTTTTTAAATGTACTTAGTGACTTCTGTAGTCAATTACAACCCATATTAATACAGGATAGCTCTGAGCCACTGTACATAGATATACAGCCTTAAGCCACTTGTACCTAGCCAATAAAATCAGATGTGTCTAGAGACAAACTGGTAAGTCTGTGTTGAGTGGGTATTCAATCCATAAAAGAAAGGCTCTACTCAACAGGGGATCGAAGCATATGCTGAGGCTCACAGACAAACTTTGGGCAGAGCACAGGCAGTATTATGGAACAAGGGGTGGAGTGGGGGTAAAAGGACATGGAGTGCACAGGAGCTCTACAAGGAGACCAACAAAGCTAAAAAACCTGAGCCCAGATGGTCCTTCAGAGAATGATGTACCAATCAAGGACCATTCATGGCGAGGACCTAGACGCCCTGCTCAGATGTACTCCATAGGCAGCTCAGTTTCCATGTGGGTGTCCGAGGTAGCAGGGGCTACCTCTGTCATGACATTGATTGCCTGCTCTTTGAGCCCCTGGTGATGTGGTCTTTCCAGGACAGAAAGGAAGAACAAAAATAAATGTAAAAAAAGGGGATCTGAGTTTTATAATCTTGAATTTAGTGTTAATATTGTCTGAAACATTGGTATCAAGCTTCTTTTATTTTCTAAGGGTACCAATTAAGAAAAGTATATCTTGATTTATGCCAGATAAAATTATTAAAATATTTAATTGAATGTTTTCTTATTTAGAATAGATTTACACTATTTTCCATTGGATGAAATTCTGTGTGGATATACTATTTCATGGGATAAAAATGAGGGAACCTTTATTTTTGAAAATAGTCTGAGCAACAAAAGACATGCAGCTTTCATGTACCAGTGGTGTTGAAAAGGATGGTGCTTTATAGATTAAGCTAGGGATCAGTTACCATTGTTTTGTTTTCTTTTCCACATTAAAAAATGTCAGGTGAATCTATGAATGGTTCCATTGTAAATATTAGAGAACGTAATACATGAAAGAGATTAGGGAAAATGATAGGAGAGCAGCTGGAAGTGCTGGTTTTGTCCTTGAGTGATAAGGAGTTTTGACACATGACCAACACTATGAGGTAGTGTGGGTTAGGCCATGACTACAGACTGTCCTTCCATTGAAGTTTTTCGGTGAAGAAACAAACTGTCTCGTGCTGTGAATAAATATTCCTGCAGAGTAACACCATCAGTGTCTTTGTGAGATGGCTTATGTTGTTCCAAACTGAGTATGTCCTCTTAGTTTAGTCAAGATGAAATCTAATTCAGTAGTAATGATATGTAAAAATAGATGTTCCATTCAAGGCAATACAAGTTATAATTATTGTGTTATGTTGCAATCAAATAATACAGACGCCAGAAGCAGTGGAAGAGAGGAAACTGGATGGGAGCCTACTATAGAGGGTCCTCTGAAAGGTTCTACTCAACAGGGTATCAAAGCAGGTGCTGAGATTCACAGCCAAACTTTGGGCAGAGTGCAGGGAGTCTTATGGAAGAAGAGGGGGGGATAAAAGGACACAGAGGGGACAGGAGCCTTACAAGGAGACCAACAAAGCTAAAATATCTGAGGCCAGGTGGTCCTGCAGAGACTGATGGACCAGCCAAGAACTATGCATGGAGAGGACCTAGACCCCCTGGCTCAGATGTAGTCCATAGGCTGGTCATTCTTCATTTGGGTTCCTGAGTGAGGGGAGCTTTTTCCTCATGTGGGACTTCTAATAGCAGGGGCTGTTTCTGACTTTGTTGCCTGTCTTTGACTCCCTTTTCCCTAATGGGCTGCTTTATCTAACTTCAATAGAAGATGTACCCAGTCCTATTTGATATGTCAATGTGGGTTGATACCCATGGGAAGTCTCCCCTTCTTTGAGAAGAAAGGAAGGGGGTACAGAGGGAGGTGAGAGGGAGAGACTGGGAGGACAGGAGGTAGGAAAACTTTCTACAGTGATGTAAAGTAAATAAATAAATTAATAAATGAGAAAAATAAAAAAAAAATCTTTTTGGCACCTGCCTTTTGATTTGCCATAATTCAAGTCCATTTCAAACGTGGCATGTGGAAAGAAAGAATTATATTTCTTATTGTGATTATCTTAGAAACTTTTCCAAAGGTTTAAGTCTTCTCTTATATTCAGCCCATTGATTTATACTGTTCTAAAATCAAGCACTATACAGGACAATGGTTTACATCTGCATAGTGAACACAGTGCCTACCCTGACTGAGAGTTGTTATGAAATCAACTGGGACATATTTTAGAAACTATTTAGTGACACGTAGGTGTTACCAATTAACATGCTACTTGGCTGAGTATACCTTTATGATGTAGCCAACTTTCTTCCACTCTCACTTTGAGTCAGAAAAAGAAAAAAGACAACAGAGGCTAGTAGGAGTCGTAGGAATGAAGATAGTGGAAAAGCTCTGTTAACACCTACAGATTTACAGATTGAAGAAATACATCCTACTAGGATGACTATATTAACAATAATACTTCAAAATAGACAGAAGAGATTTTAATATTCTCACCACAAAGAAATGATAAATTTTTAAGTGACTTGTATGTTAATTACTCTCATTTGATCATGATAGACTGTATACATATGTTGACATATACACTATTTTATAAATATAAGGATAATTTGTATATATTTAATAAATACTTTAAAATAAAAATTAAATTAAAAAAATAATAGATCAAATGCCTTGGCAACTATACTTACATAAATAAACAGGATCTAGCTTTCCACAGTTTTACCACTTTGAACTGTGTGGCCTCAATGAAACTGTGTGTGTGTGGTGGAGGAGCAGGGGGAGGGAGAGAGTAGAACATCAGCATCACGACACTGTGTCCTGTTCTTTTCATTTTTCATGACTTCTCACTTTGCATATTCAGCTGTGCTCTCCCATCAGGACTTTCCCTTACCAATATTCTCTGGAGCATCAGCAGAAATACGATCTTTGGCTCCAAATGCTATTATGGGTACAGAGATCCATGCCAGCTCTCAGGTTACTTCAGAAACACCTCAAATCACTCAACCATACATAACCATACATAACCATACATAACCATACATAACACTTTGAATGGCTTTGTGATTTTTTTCAGCCATATATTTTTAATCTTGAAAAATTTTGATATTTCTTCATATTTAGTACAATTTCCTCTCCTTACATCTACTCACTATTAGATTTTGTCTGAAAATAACTTCAAATGCTCTTGCGTGCTCACTGATAAAAATGACCTCAAAGATATATTCAAAGATAATTCATTCTTTTATGTATATCTATATATCTCTATATATGTATTTCATAATGCATATTTACTAGAAGAAATCATGTTGTCTTTTTTATAGTCTTATCTTTCATACATAGATCTATAAATCCATCAATAATAGACCTATATTATATAACTATTTATTATAAATAAATATATTATGAATCTATATATAAATATGATATGATAAACATGAATTTACTTATAAATAAATACAAATCTATGCATCTATATATTTATATATACATATATGGCCTGAGAAAGACTAGAAGAATTTCCACTAGAAGAAAATAGCATTAGAAAACATTTTGTATCTAAATATAGTCAATTATGTCAAGATAATTTTTGATGAATTTTTGGGGGGTAGGAAAACATAAAACTCTTTAAGTAGTATGGATGTGTATGCATTCGTGCAGCATTTGAGGAGAAGCCAGAGTCCTGTTAGCTGAAGATAAAGACCTGACGCCATATAATGCCGGTCAAGCCAAATGAAACACAGCACTCCATTGCAGTATTGTACAGCTGTTACCAGCAGACAACACATCTTCTACTTGTCACCCTCTTTCATAGGCTCTGAAGTTATAAACATCAGTTTTGTGATATAGAAAGAAGAGGGCAAAGGTCTCATCAGGACTGCCTGGATCTCTTCCTCTATGGGCTGGCTGGGTCACCCCATCAGGGAGAAGTGATCTGGAAGAAGGCAACTGAGTTATATATTAATAACTAATATGACACTATATTTACAAGTGAGTTTCTTACCCCTAGGTATAACAAGAATCCATAGAAGATGAATTTCCAGAAAAAGCATCGCCGCAGGGCGTTGATAAGCTTGGGATTCTTTTTTGAAGCTTGTTCCCTGTCCCATTCTCTGCAAATAAGGAGAAAATGAAACCGATTAGATGCAGGCGCATGTATCTGAGTTGTTCTGTTTCTCTTCATAGTTTCCGGCCCACAAGTATGTTAAAGGAGATTAACATACCATGATAAAGGAGAAAAAAAACTTGTGAAGTCTGTCCAGCACCAACTGCTCAATCAGATGCTTAGCAGAATTTGATGGACTGCTATGTCATCACTCTGCCGAGTTTCATTTTTGAAAAATATTAATTTGTGTATTTTAAAGAAATATACTAAGTTTCTTTGGAGCAATGACAAGTGTGAGAAACTAATGTATATGACACTTAGAATGTATTTGTGTTCATAACAAGATTTCACAATATGCAACTTTCAAACAAAAATAAAACATGAGGCAAACTTTTTGTTTTAAATATTTTTTTAAAAATTTAACTAATATGATTGTATCATTTTTCCCTTTACTTTATTCCTTCCATCCTCCTTATGTCTTCTCCCTTCAAGGCCCTCCCCTGTCCATCTTCCCCATTGCTTCTCAAATTTACAGCCTCTTTGCCTTTGATTATAATATATATTATTTTTACATATTTATACACATACATAATACACACATACATACATACATACATACAAACAACCTGATGAGTCCATATATACACTAGTTGCTCGTGTATATACTTTCAGAGCTGAGCTCCTGGTATTGGATAGCCAATTAGGGGAGCCCATCTCTAGAAAAGACCATTTGTCAGAGGCAGTCCCTCTTCCCATTACTATGGAACCCACTTGGATACTAAACTGACATGGGCTACATCTGTGCAGGGGTTCTAGGTTATCTCCATGCATGGTACTTGGTTGGAGTATGAGTCTCTGGGAAGACCCCTGTGTTCAAATTTCTGGTTCTGTTGTTCTCCTTGTGGAGTTCACCTCCTCCTGAGGGGGGAAGCAGCCTTACCAGGCACAGAAGATGACAATGCAGCCATTCCTGATGAGATCTGATAGACTAAGATCAGAAGGAAGGACAGGAGGACCTCCCCTATCAGTGGACTTGAGAAGGGGTATGCTTGAAGAAGGGGAAGGGAGGGGCTTATGGGGGGATACAAAGTGAATAAAGTGTAATTAATAAAAAAATAAAAAAGAAAAAAGCAACAAAGATATTCTTTAAAATGATTTCCCCATTCTACTTTAAATACTGTTTGAAATCAATATGAAATATTGATAATATTAATAAATTTTGATTTGCTAATAAAAAAAGACCATTTGTCTGTCAGTTGCCTGTAGTTCTTTGTTTGGGGTAGCACTCATGAAAGAAGGGGCTGAAGCACTTTTAGAGCCAGATGGCCAGAAATCCTGCTGTGAGATGTGCTGCCTAGAAATGACAGGGAAGCTACACCCATAATACCCCTACAATCTGGCTGCTTAAACAAACAGTATCAATAGACACGCTAGTGAAGGAAAAATATCAGGTGAACTTCTTTTTTTGTGTGATTTAACATAAGAAAAACCTATTTGGATTAAAAAAAAAAGACATGAAAGAATCATGATTAAATTTCATATCCAACTACTGAAATCATTTAGTAGTGTATAAGTCTTTAAAAACAGAGCAAAATAAAAATAGATTGTAGTAAGGATAGGTACTAAACAGTATTGACAATATTTTGTTTTCAGTACTATCAGAGTATCAGCTGGTTGGTTTTAGGATATCGCCACAGCTGTCTGTTAAGAAAAACTATTTATAATTTTTGTAATAGAATAAAACATATTTCACCATCACCTTCATCTTAATTTTCAAATTGGGATGAGATGGAAAAATTCCATGAATCACAGACAAAAACTAAATACTAAGATAAAAGCTTTGTTATTTCATAAATGGCTATTCTCATTGTAAAGTTGCCATAACTAAATGTTTCTACATCACTTCAGAAGAAGGAGATACAACTGAGTTTTGATGAAAAGCTTGGAAGTCTTAGCAAATGGAGCATGATCTCTCCAAGAAACTTGCTAATTGCAGCCTATCTATAAAGCCTAGCCAACCCATGGCCCTCTTCTGCTCTTCATTCACATACATAAAGCCCATTTCTCCATCTGTGATATTTAGAGTCAAAAATAGGGCACAAAAATATATAGCAGCAAGATCTTCTTTATGCATGGAATAGTTCTCATTAAAGATAGGATAAACATACTAAAATCTGTACACCTAAAGAACATAAACAAGAAAGAGGACCCATGGTAAGATGATCAATCCTCACTTATAAAGACAAATGAGATGGACATTGGATATAGGAGAAAACAAGTAACAGGACAGGAGGCTACCACAGAGGGTCTCTGAAAGACTCTACCCAGCAGGATATTAAAGCAGATATTGAGACTCATAACCAAAACTTGGGCAGAGTGCAGGGTATCATATGAAAGAAGGGGGAGTTAGTAAGACCTGGAGAGGACAGGGGTTCCACAAGGACCAAATATATCTGGGCACAGGGTCTTTTCTGAGACTGTTTCTCCAACCAAAGACCATGCATGGAGATAACCTAGAATCCCTGCTCAGATGTAGCCCATGGCAGCTCAGTATCCAAGTGAGTACTATAGTAAGGGGAACAGGGACTGTCTCTGACATGAACTCAGTGTCTGGCTCTTTGACCTCCTCACCCCCCGTGGGAGGAGCAGCCTTGCTAGGCCACAGAGGAGGACATTGCAGCCAGGCCTGAAGATACCTGATAAGCTAGGGTCAGATGGAAGGGGAAGAGGACCTCCCCTATCAGTGGACTTAGAGAGGTGCAGAGAAGAGATGAGGGAGGGAGGGTGGAGTTGGGAGGGAATGAGGGATGGAACTACAGCTGGGATACAAAGTAAATAAACTGTAATTAATATAAAAAATAAAAAATTAATTAAAAATAAATATAAAATAAAAATTCTCATCAATACTTCAATTAGAATTTAGTGATCAACTCTATCTAAAAAATGCAGGAAAGGAAATGTCCATAAACCAAAGAAATGGTTTCAAGAATGAAGATACCAATAACAGTAAAGTAGTAAATATAAAAAACTGTCACATTTGATAATGTGACATCAATGCGGTTTTAGGAAGATGGTTAAAATGGAAACTATATTTCAGGCATAGAGATATAAATGAAGGATAAACAAATGGAGGCCAGGACAGCAAAGAACTGTCAACTATGAAATGGGAGAGATGTAAAAAAAAAAAAAAAAAAAAAAAGAAATGGGAGAGATGTAGACTTGAGGGTAAGGGAAGCTGTTGTTTTCATTGAAGGACTTGAATAATCTATAGTTGTAGAGGAATTAGTAAAAACAGTAGATAGTATGAGCCAGCAGCACATTAAACAGGCTTAATAAACGGAAAGAGTTCTAGACTTGCAAAGCTCCTAAGTTAGTTGAGAACGTAGAGTGATTATGTGGTTTCCATATGGCAGTGATATAGATGGCTCAATCTCATGGCCACAAAAGTGAACCAGAGGAGTCTATGTACCTCAACTAACAAACTGAAAACTTGGTGTCATTTCACAAGGGTGTAAAGTAATAGTTTTAAATTTTTCTAATAAGAAATAAGATGGCGAGATATAAAATTATAGCAACAATAATTATAAGGGTTAGAGTTTATTGCTACTAGAATTTATGCATCTATTCTGAGACAAAGAGGTTGAATTAAAACACAAATAAGAGAATTGTTGGAAAAATCTAAACTAAGATGATTCTAGAAATGAAAAGAAGAAAAAAATCTCAATGAAAACCCTACTCAGTAGAATGTATCATGTAGAGAACAGAGTATCAGGGATGGCAGACAAGGTACAATATGGCAGAAAAGGTACAATATGGTACAATGGCAGAAAAGGCTACTCAGTAAAAGTCAGCAATGAATTTTTAAAAATATACATAATGAAATTGTGGGAAACCTCTGGAATTCCACAGTAAAGGCTTTGCAAATAGTCAATAAAACAATGGAAAAAAATCGCCAAGCCTAAAAAAAGATGCCCTAGGAAAAAAAGGCCTTACAGAATACCAACAAGACAGAGCCACCAAAAAACAAATGCTTCCTCACCACATATTATAGTTAAAATATTAAAATTAAAATAAAGAAAGGGCTTAAAAGACAAAAGTCATCACTAAGGGCAGGGCCATCAGAATAGTACCTGACTATTCAACAGAAACTTTTCTTCAAAAATGTTTATTACCTTTTACATTTTTAATTAAACTATAATTACTTCAGTTTGCTCTCTATCATCCTTCCATACCTTCCCAAGGCCTTTCCTCCAACTCCTTCCATGATCTCCAACCTCACTCCTAAATTGATAGCCTTGTCTTCCTGAATCATTGCTTCTTCTAAAGCCAGAAAGGCTTGGAAGGGTGTATTACAAGTTCAAAAAGATCATAATTGTAAACTCACACTATTGAACTTAGCAGAAATTAACTATTAAAATGTAAAGGGAAATAAAAACTTCCCATGATGAAAAGAGATTAAAGTAATTTACCAATACTAAGCCAGCTCTACAGAAGATACTGGAAAAAAATACCAAAGTCTGAAAACTGGATAAACAGACCTCACAATAAGTCAGAGAATAAATAATCCCAGGACAGTTTACCAAAAGAGGCCTAAAAACACCACAAAACAACAAAATGACAGACATTAATATTCACTTTTCAATAAAAACTGTTAATATAAAGGCTGGCAACTTAGAGTAAAAAAAACTGATTTTTTTTTTAATTCTTATTTATTCATTTATTTTTTTATTGCCTCTAAGAAGCACACATCACCACCAACATTAGAGGCCAGCATAGGATAACATGATAGAAAAAGGTATCTAAGCAAATGGAACTAAGAAACAAGCAGGCAAACTTATTGTAATAACCTGACAAGATAAGCTTCAAACCAAAACTACTCAGGAGAGATAAGGAGGGTGACACTCCACACCTATTAAAAACAATAAAACATTTAGATATTGCAATTTGAAATATATACATACCACATACATGTACCCAGTTTCAGGGGGGAAAAAAGTAGCTTCAAAA